GCAGAAGGCCTTATTTTAAAACATGAGAGGCTTGCTTTTACTGAATGAGTTTTTCTTATTTGTTATATGCCACAGTAAGGTGTGGGAGGTATGTTTTGAGTGAATGTGAGACGTGTATGCGGTTAAGGACAATATTGGTTTACTACTGAACACGCATTGAAATCACCAATGCCCAGGGCTCTGTTTTTTCATATAAACGACTGATAGCAGTTTTTTCATTTTATTTTTTGCCCTATGCATAATAAACGATCCTTTAAGAAAGATTGTCAAAGCTCAAATTACATTCTCTAGAACGACGACGAAGAAAAAATAGGGGTGACATGATAGAGGTGTGACTGAATGGTCATAGTAAAGGGGAATATTAATAACCTATTAAACGTATCAACATGAAACAGAATAGGAATGAATTGGATAAGTTTTATATTTAGGAAAAAGACCTGGGTAAATACAGGCAGCAGGGGACGAACTTGAAAATACACACATAACTTCTTGCAGTGCTGAAGTTATGTTCTTCCCTCACATACATGATCCCCTTTGATAAATGTAATGGGCGATGGTTGGAAGTAAATATGAAAGATAGTAAGTTTTCATTTTTATTTTGCCCTATGCTCAATAAGCAATTTCTGAAGAAAGATTGACAAAGCTTAAATTACATTCTCTAGAAAGGTAAAGAAATAGAGGTGACATGATAGAGCTGTGAATGAATGGACATGATAAAGGGGGAATATTAATAGACTATTAAAATTATCAACACTAGACAGAACATGAAACAATGGACATAAATTGGAATGGGTTTTAGATTTAGGAAAAAGACCTGGGTAAATACTGGTTCTGTAAACAGGGTTTGAAGTCATTTCTTATGTTATTATTATGTAATCTTAGCTATAAAATGATCTTAGACAATGGGAAACAGTAAGGCAATACCTTATTGTGAAAAACGAGCTTATAATGGTTAATGCCATTGCACATTAGGCTTGACAGAAGGCAGCATTTGAATCCCCCTTTGCTATAAATATCGAAAATGGGAATAATTACACTGTAACAGAAAACGGACTTATACAGGGAAAATGAAGACAGGGGTGACGTCATTGACCATTAGCAATGCCTGTGCAGGGTTGCTCAGGTAATGAAATATGATGGGGCCAGGAGCCGGCCTTTTAATCCCCAGGTAAGTTGATGACGTCATTGACCATTGACTATGCCTGTGCATGGGACCGGCAATGAAAGAAAATTTGAGAAAACCCTGGGGCCAATGACCGGCTTTTTAATCCCCTTTAACATGCCTGTGCAGGGTCACTGAGCAAACGAAATTTTGGGATGACTGGAGGCAGCCGTTTAATCCCCTTGAGCGAAAATGGCAGGGGCCAATGACCAGCCATGAAAATTATTTCGAGAAAACCCAGGGGCCAATGACTGGCTTGGGAAAAAAAGTTCATAAAACCCAGGGGCCAATGACCGGCTTGGGAAAAAAGCAAAACAGCTGGTCATTGGCCTGGTTTACACTACTACCACCTGGTCCCTGGGGCTGGTCACGGGTCACCCCCTAATCACTGGGGCTGGTCACGGGTCACCCCCTTGTCCCTGGGGCTGGTCACGGGTCACCTCCTGGTCTCTGGGGCTGGTCATGGGTCACCACCTGGTCCCTGGGGCTGGTCACGGGTCACCCCCTAATCACTGGGGCTGGTCACGGGTCACCCCCTGGTCCCTGGGGCTGGTCACGGGTCACCTCCTGGTCTCTGGGGCTGGTCATGGGTCACCACCTGGGGCTGGTCACGGGTCACCTCCTGGTCCCTGGAGCTGGTCACGGGTCACCATCTGGTTCCTGGGGCTAGTCACGGGTCACCTCCTGGTCCCTGGGGCTGGTCATGGGTCAGCACCTGGTCCCTGGGGCTGGTCACGGGTCACTACCTGGTCTCTTGGGCTGGTCAAGGGTCACCTCCTGGTCTCTGGGGCTGGTCACGGGTCACCACCTGGTCCCTGGGGCTGGTCACGGGTCACCACCTGGTCCCTGGGGCTGGTCACGGGTCACCACCTGGTCCCTGGGGCTGGTCACGGGTCACCACCTGGTCTCTGGGGCTGGTCACGGGTCACCACCTGGTCCCTGGGGCTGGTCACGGGTCACCACATGTTCCCTGGGGCTGGTCACGGGTCACCACCTGGTCCCTGGAGCTGGTCACGGGTCACCATCTGGTCTCTGGGGCTGGTCACGGGTCACCACCTGGTCCCTGGTGCTTGTCACGGGTCACCACCTGGTCCCTGGTGCTTGTCACGGGTCACCACCTGGTCCCTGGGGCTGGTCTTGGGTCACCTCCTGGTCTCTGGGGCTGGTCACGGGTCACCATCTGGTCCCTGGGGCTGGTCTTGGGTCACCTCTTGGTCTCTGGGGCTGGTCACGGGTCACCACTTGGTCCCTGGGGCTAGTCTTGGGTCTCCACCTGGTCCCTGGGGCTGGTCACGGGTCACCTCCTGGTCTCAGGGGCTGGTCACGGGTCACCACCTGGTCCCTCGGGCTGGTCACGGGTCACCACCTGGTCCTTGGGGCTGGTCACGGGTCACCACCTGATCCCTGGGACTGGTCACGGGTCACCACCTGGTCCTTGGTGCTGGTCACGGGTCACCACTTGGTCCCTGGGGCTGGTCTTGGGTCTCCTCCTGGTCTCTGGGGCTGGTCACGGGTCACCACCTGGTCCCTGGGGCTGGGGCTGGTCACGGGTCACCTCCTGGTCCCAGGGGCTGGTCTTGGGTTACCACCTGGTCTCTGGGGCTAGTGGTCACCGCCTGGTTACTGGTCTCGGTCAGCCCCTGGTCCTGGGGCTAGTCACGGGTCACTACCTGGTCTCTGGGCCTGGTCAAGGGTCACCTCCTGGTCTCTGGGGCTGGTCACGGGTCACCACCTGGTCCCTGGGGCTGGTCACGGGTCACCACCTGGTCCCTGGGGCTGGTCACGGGTCACCACCTGGTCCCTGGGGCTGGTCACGGGTCACCACCTGGTCCCTGGGGGTCACGGGTCACCACCTGGTCTCTGGGGCTGGTCACGGGTCACCACCTGGTCCCTGGGGCTGGTCACGGGTCACCACCTGGTCCCTGGTGCTGGTCACTGGTCACCACCTTGTCCTTGGGGCTGGTCATGGGTCACCTCCTGGTCCTTGGGGCTTGTGACGGGTCACCACCTGGTCTCTGGGGCTGGTCACGGGTCACCACCTGGTCCCTGGGGCTGGTCACGGGTCACCACCTGTTCCCTGGGGCTGGTCACGGGTCACCACCTGGTCCCTGGAGCTGGTCACGGGTCACCATCTGGTCTCTGGGGCTGGTCACGGGTCACCACCTGGTCCCTGGTGCTTGTCACGGGTCACCACCTGGTCCCTGGTGCTTGTCACGGGTCACCACCTGGTCCCTGGGGCTGGTCTTGGGTCACCTCCTGGTCTCTGGGGCTGGTCACGGGTCACCATCTGGTCCCTGGGGCTGGTCTTGGGTCACCTCTTGGTCTCTGGGGCTGGTCACGGGTCACCACTTGGTCCCTGGGGCTAGTCTTGGGTAACCACCTGGTCCCTGGGGCTGGTCACGGGTCACCTCCTGGTCTCAGGGGCTGGTCACAGGTCACCACCTGGTCCCTCGGGCTGGTCACGGGTCACCACCTGGTCCTTGGGGCTGGTCACGGGTCACCACCTGGTCCCTAGGACTGGTCACGGGTCACCACCTGGTCCTTGGTGCTGGTCACGGGTCACCACTTGGTCCCTGGGGCTGGTCTTGGGTCACCTCCTGGTCTCTGGGGCTGGTCACGGGTCACCATCTGGTCCCTGGGGCTGGTCTTGGGTCACCTCTTGGTCTCTGGGGCTGGTCACGGGTCACCACGTGGTTCCTGGGGCTAGTCATGGGTCACCACCTGGTCCCTGGGGCTGGTCACGGGTCACCTCCTGGTCTCTTGGGCTGGTCACGGGTCACCACTTGGTCCCTGGGGCTAGTCATGGGTCACCACCTGGTCCCTGGGGCTGGTCACGGGTTACCTCCTGGTCTCTGGGGCTTGTCACGGGTCACCACTTGGTCCCTGGGGCTAGTCATGGGTCACCACCTGGTCCCTGGGGCTGGTCACGGGTCACCTCCTGGTCTCTTGGGCTGGTCACGGGTCACCACCTGGTTCCTGGGGCTGGTCACGGGTCACCACCTGGTCCCTGGGGCTGGTCACGGGTCACCACCTGGTCCCAGGGGCTGGTCTTGGGTCACCTCCTGGTCTCTGGGGCTGGTCACGGGTCACCACCTGGTTCCTGGGGCTAGTCACGGGTCACCGCCTGGTCCCTGGGGCTGGTCATCGGTCAGCCCCTGGTCCCTGGGGCTGGTCACGGGTCACTACCTGGTCTCTGGGGCTGGTCAAGGGTCACCTCCTGGTCTCTGGGGCTGGTCACGGGTCACCACCTGGTCCCTGGGGCTGGTCACGGGTCACCACCTGGTCCCTGGGGCTGGTCACGGGTCACCACCTGGTCCCTGGGGCTGGTCACGGGTCACCACCTGGTCCCTGGGGCTGGTCACGGGTCACCACCTGGTTTCTGGGACTGGTCACGGGTCACCACCTGGTCCCTGGGGCTGGTCACGGGTCACCACCTGGTCCCTGGTGCTGGTCACGGGTCACCACCTGGTCCTTGGGGCTGGTCATGGGTCACCTCCTGGTCCTTGGGGCTGGTCACGGGTCACCTCCTCGTCCCTGGGGTTGGTCACGGGTCACCTCCTGGTCATTGGGGCTGGTCACGGGTCACCACCTGGTCTCTGGGGCTGGTCACGGGTCACCACCTGGTCACTGGGGCTGGTCACGGGTCACCTCCTGGTCTCTAGGGCTGGTCACGGGTCACCACCTGGTCCCTGGGGCTGGTCACGGGTAACCTCCTAGTCTCTGGGGGTGGTCACGGGTCAGCACCTGGTCACTGGGGCTGGTCACGGGTCACCTCCTGGTCTCTGGGGCTGGTCACGGGTCACCACCTGGTCCCTGGGGCTGGTCACGGGTCACCACCTGGTCCCTGGGGCTGGTCACGTGTCACCTCTGGTCCCTGGGGCTGGTCACTCCATACTGCAAATGTATACACCAAAATGTTACATATTTAAACAGGTTAATATTTACAATTTACTGTATAACTACGAGAGTCAAAATTACAATAATCAGCAACAAGAACAAGAACTGAAGAAATCAAAAGTTTACATAATTGACAATTAGCTTTGTCCAATTAAATTAATTTCGTTGTCAATTTTTGGAATAAAGAGAACTGAATAAGAAATATATAGACAACAATAAACAAATTGTCTGCCCTAAACGCTGCGCGTACTAGTGGCTTTACAAGAGTGCAATTACTGTACTATGCTATGTATTCTCACAAACCTAATGTACCTTCTTGTATATAATAAATAAATAAATAAATTAGTATAATGGCTAAATATATAAGTCTCATAAATCATTATTGCATAAATTATTCCATAAATAAAAGCCAGAAAACCACCACCACAAATAAATACAACATAAAACAGCCAAGCAACACAAGTAAATATACAATTGAATACATTCCACAACACAAAAGTTATACAAAGATATAAACACATTACAACGGGGGGGGGGGCAGAATTATCACTAACAAAAGTGTTTATCATCCCAGTTACACTGATACAAAATATTACAGGATCAAATGTGTGAAAATTAATAATTTATTTCATTATTCATAATCAGAGACATTTAAATATCGGTGATATAAAATATTAAAACATTAAGTAATTGAATAAAGTAAATGAGAAATGACTGAAGTAAAGCGATATATTACAAAACTATGAGACGCTCAAACGACCCTCCAGGAGCACTTCCTGCCACCCTGGCAGACACCACCTTCGGTCATGACCCACCAGGAGCACTTCCTGCCACCCTGGCAGACAACACCTTCGGTCATGACGCACCAGGAGCACTTCCTGCCACCCTGGCAGACAACACCTTCGGTCATGACCCACCAGGAGCACTTCCTGCAACCCTGGCAGACAACACCTTCGGTCATGACCCACCAGGAGCACTTCCTGCAACCCTGGCAGACAACACCTTCGGTCACGACCCACCAGGAGCACTTCCTGCCACCCTGGCAGACACCACCTTCGGTCATGACCCACCTGGAGCACTTCCTGCCACCCTGGCAGACAACACCTTCGGTCATGACCCACCTGGAGCACTTCCTGCCACCCTGGCAGACAACACCTTCAGTCATGACCCACCAGGAGCACTTCCTGCCACCCTGGCAGACAACACCTTCGGTCATGACAAACCAGGAGCACTTCCTGCAACCCTGGCAGACACCACCTTCGGTCATGACCCACCAGGAGCACTTCCTGCCACCCTGGCAGACAACACCTTCGGTCATGACCCACCAGGAGCACTTCCTGCAACCCTGGCAGACAACACCTTCGGTCATGACCCACCAGGAGCACTTCCTGCCACCCTGGCAGACAACACCTTCGGTCATGACCCACCAGGAGCACTTCCTGCAACCCTGGCAGACACCACCTTCGGTCATGACCCACCAGGAGCACTTCCTGCCACCCTGGCAGACAACACCTTCGGTCATGACCCACCAGGAGCACTTCCTGCAACCCTGGCAGACAACACCTTCGGTCATGACCCACCAGGAGCACTTCCTGCCACCCTGGCAGACAACACCTTCGGTCATGACCCACCAGGAGCACTTCCTGCAACCCTGGCAGACAACACCTTCGGTCATGACCCACCTGGAGCACTTCCTGCCACCCTGGCAGACAACACCTTCGGTCATGACCCACCAGGAGCACTTCCTGCAACCCTGGCAGACACCACCTTCGGTCATGACCCACCAGGAGCACTTCCTGCCACCCTGGCAGACACCACCTTCGGTCATGACCCACCTGGAGCACTTCCTGCCACCCTGGCAGACAACACCTTCGGTCATGACCCACCAGGAGCACTTCCTGACCCCCTGGCAGACACCACCTTCGGTCATGACCCACCTGGAGTACTTCCTGCACCCTGGCACACAACACCTACGGTCATGACCCACCTGGAGCACTTCCTGCAACCGTGGCAGACAACACCTTCGGTCATGACCCACCAGGAGCACTTCCTGCCACCCTGGCAGACAACACCTTCGGTCATGTCCCACCTGGAGCACTTCCTGCCTCCCTGGCAGACAACACCTTCGGTCATGTCCCTCCAAGAGCACTTCCTGCCACTCTGGCAGACAACACCTTCGGTCATGTCCCACCTGGAGCACTTCCTGCCACCCTGGCAGACAACACCTTCGGTCATGTCCCACCAGGAGCACTTCCTGCCACCCTGGCAGACAACACCTTCGGTCATGACCCACCAGGAGCACTTCCTGCCACCCTGGCAGACAACACCTTCGGTCATGACCCACCTGGAGCACTTCCTGCCACCCTGGCAGACAACACCTTCGGTCATGACCCACCAGGAACACTTCCTGCCACCCTGGCAGACAACACCTTCGGTCATGACCCACCTGGAGCACTTCCTGCCACCCTGGCAGACAACACCTTCGGTCATGACCCACCTGGAGCACTTCCTGCCACCCTGGCAGACAACACCTTCGGTCATGACCCACCAGGAGCACTTCCTGCCACCCTGGCAGACAACACCTTCGGTCATGTCCCACCTGGAGCACTTCCTGCCACCCTGGCAGACAACACCTTCGGTCATGACCCACCAGGAGCACTTCCTGCCACCTTGGCAGACAACACCTTCGGTCATGACCCACCAGGAGCACTTCCTGCCACCCTGGCAGACAACACCTTCGGTCATGACCCTCCAGGAGCACTTCCTGCCACCCTGGCAGACAACACCTTCGGTCATGACCCACAAGGAGCACTTCCTGCCATCCTGGCAGACAACACCTTCGGTCATGACCCTCCAGGAGCACTTCCTGCCACCCTGGCAGACAACACCTTCGGTCATGACCCACCAGGAGCACTTCCTGCCACCCTGGCAGACAACACCTTCGGTCATGACCCACGAGGAGCACTTCCTGCCACCCTGGCAGACACCACCTTCGGTCATGACCCACCTGGAGCACTTCCTGCCACCCTGGCAGACACCACCTTCGGTCATGACCCACCAGGAGGACTTCCTGCCACCCTGGCAATCAACACCTTCGGTCATGACCCACCAGGAGCACTTCCTGCCACCCTAGCAGACAACACCTTCGGTCATGACCCACCAGGAGCACTTCCTGCCACCCTGGCAGACACCACCTTCGGTCATGACCCACCTGGAGCACTTCCTGCCACCCTGGCAGACACCACCTTCGGTCATGACCCACCAGGAGGACTTCTTGCCACCCTGGCAGACAACACCTACGGTCATGACACTCCAGGAGCACTTCCTGCCACCCTGGCAGACAACACCTTCGGTCATGACCCACCTGGAGCACTTCCTGCCACCCTGGCAGACAACACCTTCGGTCATGTCCCACCAGCAGCACTTACTGCCACCCTGGCAGACAACACCTTCGGTTATGACCAACCTGGAGCACTTCCTGCCACCCTGGCAGACAACACCTTCGGTCATGACCCACCTGGAGCACTTCCTGCAACCCTGGCAGACAACACCTTCGGTCATGACCCACCAGGAGCACTTCCTCCCTCCCTGGCAGACAACACCTTCGGTCATGTCCCACCAGGAGCACTTCCTGCCACTCTGGCAGACAACACCTTCGGTCATGACCCACCAGGAGCACTTCCTGCAACCCTGGCAGACAACACCTTCGGTCATGACCCACCAGGAGCACTTCCTGCAACCCTGGCAGACAACACCTTCGGTCATGTCCCACCAGGAGCACTTCTTGCCACCCTGGCAGACAACACCTTCGGTCATGACCCACCTGGAGCACTTCCTGCCACCCTGGCAGACAACACCTTCGGTCATGACCCACCAGGAGCACTTCCTGCCACCCTGGCAGACAACACCTTCGGTCATGACCCACCAGGAGCACTTCCTGCCACCCTGGCAGACAACACCTTCGGTCATGACCCTCCAGGAGCACTTCCTGCCACCCTGGCAGACAACACCTTCGGTCATGACCCACAAGGAGCACTTCCTGCCATCCTGGCAGACAACACCTTCGGTCATGACCCTCCAGGAGCACTTCCTGCCACCCTGGCAGACAACACCTTCGGTCATGACCCACCAGGAGCACTTCCTGCCACCCTGGCAGACAACACCTTCGGTCATGACCCACGAGGAGCACTTCCTGCCACCCTGGCAGACACCACCTTCTGTCATGACCCACCTGGAGCACTTCCTGCCACCCTGGCAGACACCACCTTCGGTCATGACCCACCAGGAGGACTTCCTGCCACCCTGGCAGACAACACCTTCGGTCATGACCCACCTGGAGCACTTCCTGCAACCCTGGCAGACAACACCTTCGGTCATGACCCACCAGGATCACTTCCTGCAACCCTGGCAGACAACACCTTCGGTCATGACCCACCAGGAGCACTTTCTGCAACCCTGGCAGACAACACCTTCGGTCATGTTCCACCAGGAGCACTTCCTGCCACCCTGGCAGACAACACCTTCGGCCATGACCCACCAGGATCACTTCCTGCCACCCTGGCAGACAACACCTTCGGTCATGACCCACCAGGAGCACTTCCTGCCATCCTGGCAGACAACACCTTCGGTCATGACCCACCAGGAGCACTTCCTGCCACCCTGGCAGACAACACCTTCGGTCATGACCCACCAGGAGCACTTCCTGCCACCCTGGCAGACAACACCTTCGGTCATGACCCACCAGGAGCACTTCCTGCCACCCTGGCAGACAACACCTTCGGTCATGACCCACCAGGAGCACTTCCTGCCACCCTGTCAGACAACACCTGCGGTCATGACCCTCCAGGAGCACTTCCTGCCACCCTGGCAGACAACACCTTCGGTCATGACCCACCAGGAGCACTTCCTGCCATCCTGGCAGACAACACCTTCGGTCATGACCCTCCAGGAGCACTTCCTGCCACCCTGGCAGACAACACCTTCGGTCATGACCCACC